GGGGGGGGGGGGGGGGGCATTGGAAGCTGAGTTCTGACTGAGCAGCCCTGAGCCTCCCCCATGGATCCAGCCACTCTGGGGTGGCTGTGACCCAGTAGTGCCTAGAACAAGAGAGACCCCAGGGGGGCTTCTCCAGGAAAACCCCTTGTGCCCCTGACTGGGCTCAGTCCTGCTGGTTCCAAGAAGGGTGTCTGGCCTTGCCCAGAGGCAGCTGAGACAGGAGGGGCGACCATCTGGTGAGGCGAGAGGTTGTGGTTAGGACCTCACTAAGCCAGCTGAGGCATCCCTTGGCAGTGACAGGGGCTTCTGGGATCAATTAGCAGAGCCACCCTAACGGAGCTCACGGCCCCTGTAGGCGCGCGCGTCATGGAGCCTCTTGACAGCCCTGGCAGGCGGGGCTGGGAGTGGGCTGCTGGCCTTTCCCTCTCCCTAGGCCTCGCCTCCTAGCCAGACAGTAGGTTGCATCCAGGACCCACACTCCTCCTGCCTCCCCTCTCCCGGTGGACGCAGGCTTTCTTCTGTCTCAGTGTTCACACGTGTGAAATGGGTCACATGCTCATTAGAGCAAAGTGGGGGAAAAATCATTCTCCCTTTGCAGCAAGAACAGGCGCTGAAGCTGCCCACAAAGGAAAGGTCTCATTTATTCTTCAAACAAATGGCTCTTGAGCTCTGAAGATGAGCCAGGCACAGACAAAGAGAGACAAATACAGTGCTCTCCACGCTGGGGAAGCTGGGGCCTCTGGGGGAGATGGATGTGCGTGCCAATTCCACGTGAGACGAGGAGAGGAAAATATAAGCTTCACCGGGGGACAAGGGCTTCTGGAGGCTTTGTGGTCATGGAAGCCTTTGAGCGGGAATCTTCAGACAAAGAACAGGATGTAGAGTTGGGGCAGGGAAAGTGGGAGAGCACAGGTTCAGAGACAGAGAATCAGGCGTTCTGGGGAACAGCAGCCCCGGCTGGGGCTTAGGGTGGCTCTGGGCCTGTGAGAGCTGGCGGAAGGAGCTGGTGGCCTGGTGCGTAGTTGAGCTGAACCAATGTTGTCGTGAGAAAGGGCAGTAGGAGTCAGAGCGTGGGGAAGAGGGTCAAGCCTTGATCCGCAGACAGTGGAAGCCACAGTGAGGTTGTGTGTGTGGGCTGAGGTCCAATGACATCCTGGGGCACATGGATGTCCAGTTCTCCTTTCACCATTTGTTGACAAGACTGTTCTTTCCCCCACTGAATGATCCTTTTCTCCCCCAGTACTGGGGAGGGCCTTCGCACTGAGCTACATCCCCAGCCCTTTTCGATTTAATTTAATTTAATTTAATTTCTTAGTGTCTCTCTAAGATACTAAATTTCAGAGGCAGGCTTAAACTTGCAATCTCCTGCCTCAGCCTCCCAGACTTCTAGGATTTCAGATGTGCACCATGATGCCTGGTTCATTGAATGTTCTTGGCATGAAATTGATCATAACCACGAAGTACTTCAGGGCCTTGGAAGGAACGAGACACAGTCAGATGTGTGCTACAGAAAGACAGACTTGAAGGGCTGGAAGGTGGACTGGCTGGAGGGAGGCTGTGATTCGTAGGCTTGATGCGGGGAAGAGGAGGACTTGGAGAGAAAAGCAGCCCCTGGATCAGGCCAGGCCCATGGTGGGGGACCAGGGACAGGGCTGTGTCTTGAGACAAGGCTTGGAGGTCCGCTAGAATCTGGGCCACAGAACATAGGGTCCTAGTTAAGGAATGAGGCTGGGGCAGACAAGGGGGAGACAGAGACATGCCAGCATTTCTCAGGGCCGTAGGGTCCACAAGTGGTAAAATTAAACCCACTCCAGACACAGCCACTTGTAAAGTAAATTTCCAGGTACTGAGAGCGTTGTAAAGGCAGAACAATGCCAATTACAGCAGCATTATCCCGGATTATAAAGCTTCTAAGTGTCAGCTCATACCTCCAGGCATGCTGTGCCTGGGAATTTCCAGGGGAGACGTGGGATCCAAACATCCAGGCTGCCAGGATTAGGGCTCCCTGGATTTGAGCAATATAAGGATGGTAGAGCACCTTTGCAGCACATCTATCCTTCCTGGGCTTCCCCGCCCTGGGAACACCAGGTTCCCCTGTGGCTCTTTCCGCTCGGGGCCTGACAATTTGGCGGTTTCTGATCCATTCTTGTTCTTTCCCGTGGAGTAATTTCTGGATAAGAGGTTTCTACGTGGGGAGGAGAGTGTCAGGCCATTCCCCAAAGTACCCACGTGAGGCTGAAACATCGTCAGCTCCTGAGGAGGCCATGGGTAGGGGCTGATTGAATTAGGATCCATCCATCCGTTGTAATGAGAGTCTGGCAGCGCCTCCAGGCTGGCTCGGATAGGCCCACGCCACGTGGAGCTGCATGAGTAAAGCCAGGACGCACAGCACCCACAGGGCGACTCTACTGTGACACTTCAGAACTCCACGGGAACCCCACGCACGCCCTGCATTTCGTATGTTCGCATGTATGTACACAGATGCAATAAAAACGAGGAGGAAAATATCTCCAAGTGACCCAGCGGGATGGACACTGGGACGGAGGCTGGGAGGTGGCAGGTGCATCTAAGGGACTTCCACCGCGCTGTAGTTTAAATGTCCTATTGCCATAGCACACGCCTATGTCCCCTACTTAGATAGACACATAAAACACACGTTAATGCAGAGGGCATAGCCTGACCCAAGCTCTAAGGCCTTAGTTGTGACCACAGGTCAAGGGGGAAGGAAGGAAGTCATCTCAGAGCCTCAGGCTAGTTTTGTCCTCAAGGCTGGAATCTGGATTCAGGGCTGGCAATGTCCCTCGGGTGTTCAGAAGGGACAGAGAGACACCACTCAGCTGGCTGTGCTGAAGCAATACCCACCTCTCCTGGAGCAGCTGTCTGCCAAGAAAACTATTGAACTACATAAAAATCCATCCCTGAAATCCCAGAGGTGTCCTCAGAGTCGAGCATGGCCTTTAAATTAGTTGGGGAGAGGGCAGGTTTTGCTTTTAACTTGATTTCAGGTTAGTTGAGGGCTGGTGGCCAAAGAGTGGTGGCTGCCCCTGGCTGAGGCCACGCACTAAAGTCCTACCATATTGCTGTGAAGGGAACCCCAGCCCCACCGAGGATTGGAAATGACAGGCACATGTTCCCATGGAAACTCAGCTGCACAAAATCGTCTGGAAATTTTACTGAAGAGGGCCCGCTGCTCCCTTCTTTCCTTCAAGGCTCAGAGCCTGCAGGGAAGAGTGGGTTGGAGGTTGAGACAGCTGGAGAGGGCCTATCTATCTCCACCCATTTGCCCCTGCTGGGAGAGGCTGAGCTGGGGGCTGAGAGCCACGGGAAGTCATCAGCATATTTCCGATGCCTTGAGGCTCTGAGATGGGTGACAAGGCCCTGGTGGAACAAGACCTCAGGAGGGAACAGCAGGTGAGGCCAGGAGAGATGGTGGGAAAACCCACCAGGCAGAGGCCAGAGAAGCAGCACCAAGACCCTGAGGTGCTCAGCTCCTTGTGTGTGGGGCCCTGGGACAAGGTTCTGCAGGGGCTTCCAGTGCATTCTAAGCCCAAGTTCTCCCTCGGGACAGTCACATCCATCTCCCTTGAAAGTCCAAGCTCCATCAGCCCCAGCCAGGCCTCCTCAAGAACCCTCCACCTCTATGAGCTTCTCTCCTTCTGGGGGCCTCTCCCAGGTCCAGCACCCCTCCCCTCCGCCCTGTCCCTTGAGCAGGCTGCGCCTTGCCTCCCGGGCCTGGGGCTTCCCTTCTGAGTTTTCCCTGTCCTCTCATTTAGCAGAGTCTCTCTCCTCTGCCCCTGCAGCCCGCTTCTCTGAAGGGTGGCTCTCGGGGGAGGCACACTCCCCTCCCTGTGCCAGGGAGTCCCCCATCTGTCCTCCGGAGCAGTCCTGACTGTCACGGCAAGCCAGGCGCAGGCGGCAGTGACTTGCTCAAGCCCACATTTCTCCTGCAAAGTGGAGCTGGGATCCAAAAGGAGCCTGGTGGCCACCTTGCTCCCGGGGAGCTCAGTTCCCAGCCCTCTCTCTGTTCCCTCCTCCTTCCTCACTGCCAGCGGCAAACCCTCATCTTTGCAGGCTTTTGGTGCTGGGGGCTGGGGACCGGGTGCTCAGTCTTCTTTGCCACCCAGTGGGCTCCAGAACATTGCTCCCCACCCTTCCCTGGAGACCTCAGCATCCATGTGCTCCCAGCCTTGCCCTGGGGCAGGCTCAGCCACCCAGCTGGCATTGTCTGTGTCCACCGGAGGGTGACCCGTCAGTCCGGTCCCCGAGAGCCTCACTGGCCTCAGGGAGAAACTGGGATTTTCTTCTGAGTGGAGCGGGAACCCTGGAAGAGCGGAGGAGAGATGGGAGGTCTCCAGAGAGGTTTGACTAGGTCCTCTCTGGCTGCTTTGTGAGGAAGAAATTGTGGAGACAGGGCAGCTGCGAGGGGCCATTGTGAAAGGACCTGGGCTGGGACAGGCAGGAAAGCCGACATACAATTCCCCTCACTTCCCTGGAAAGGGCTGGAAAAGCCCTAGTCCCCGCCAGAAAGCCCAAGGGCTGAGGACAGAGAGGGTCAGGATGTGGGGGAAGTGGATATGGAAGGGGGCACCCCCAGTCTCATTGGCTTTGGTGTTCGCCAACCCTGGACCCCACCTCTGGCTGCTGCAGTCGGGAGTCTGGAAGGCTCTGCATGAGGTATCCCGTGTCCTCCAGGCAGGCCTGGCATTGATTAAGTCCCCCCTGCAGGAGCCCTTCCTGCTGCATGTTCACAGGCCAGGACATCAGACCAAGCTGGGAGGCTGTGGCTGTCCTGGAAGGCCTGTTGCCACCCTACTAAACTGCTCCAGCGACCCCAGAGTTCAGTCTGTGCCCATCCTCACCCCAAACTGCCTTCCTGTCCCTGCAGAAGGTGCTGCCCAAGCTGGGTGTGGTGGCACATTCTTGTGATCTCAGCACTCAGGAGGCTGAGGCAGGAGGATCACCAGGAGTTCACAGTCAGCCTGGGCTACAGAGTAAGACCCTGTCCCCAAAATCTAAAAAATAAAAAATAAAATGATGCTGCCTGAGGGCTGGTGGTCCAGTGCTGCTTGGGAGTTGGGCCTGTGCCTTAGTTTCCCCCTCTCCCTGAGCATATTTGGGGTTTGATACAAAAGTACCCCAGGAAGCTCTGGAGCAGCTTAGAAGGTAGGGAGGGAAGACTGAGCTCTCTGATTCCCAGATGGCCAAACAGTGGGAAGGCCAAAACAGGGTGGGGAGAAAAGGGAAGGAGCCTGATAGCCTGGATGACAGGGACACTGAGCCCCTATGGGATGCACCTCGAGGTGTCACTTGCCACCTAGAAAAGCAGAAGGCTCAGGGTCAGGCACTGGGGAGCCCCCTGACTGCCCCAGCCTAAGCTTCTGCAACATAGAGACCTCTCTAAGCGCCCAGTCAGGGAGGCCAGGCACCAAGCCACACCCCTGCACCTCCATGGGAAAGAGGAGGTCTCAAGGCAGCTCTGGTGGCCACAGGGTCCCTCCTGACCTTTGCTGCAGAGGCAGGGGCTGAGGCAGGTGAAGTCTGAGGAGGAGGGGACTGGCAGCAGTGCAGGTGGTGGGCCGGGTCCGGCAGACAGAGGGACTGACTTAAGGGACTAGACCCTGAGGGGGAGGCCTGAGGAGCAGAGTGACAGGAGGGTGGCACAGTGAGTGCAGGGCACCAGGTCAATGCACCGCGACAACCTGGGGCTCCTAACTGGGGAAGGGGAGAGCCTCAGGTCCAAGTCATTCACTCAGCTCCTGGGGAGCAGCAGCTGTCCTGAACCCTGTGCCCCACCCCAAACATGCCAGAAGATCCCTTCTCACCAGCAGACACTGACCGCGCTGCCCCAGGACCCCTGGGGTCAGTCTCTCTTGCTACATCCAGTCCAGCCTGGGTGTGGCTTATTCCCACCTGTCTCCCACCCTTCCAACAGCCTCCCGATTCACTGGGCATGGCCACCCAGCCTTTGGGTCAGATGGGGGTCCCGTCACTCATCCATCCTCAGGGCTCGATCACAGCGCTGACAAGATCTTTGCCATGTCCTCCTGGGTTCCTCGGAGCCCACAGAATGGGCTGCGGTCTCGCGCTTGGGTGGGGGTACAGAGTGGAGGCGTGGGGCAGCCCAAGGAAGGGGGGCCCTGCATGTAAGAGTGAGGGGTACGGTGTCCCTGGGGCCTGGCTCCTGGTTCAGATGGAGTCCTTTGGCGAGAGGGACTGCTCTGGGCCTCTCTGGTGCGGGTCAAGGCTGATGGAACTTGTCCTAGAGGTTTTCATAGACCAGGTTAACCTCACTGTCATCCTCAAACTGCTGTCTTCTCTCCTGGGAAAAAAGGAAGCAGAATAGGTCAGGGGAGAGGAGGAGGAGGAAGAGGAAGAGGAGAAGAGGAGGAAGAGGAAGAAGAAAAGAAAGGAGACAGAGGAGGACAAAGGAGAGAAGAGAGAAGAGAAGCCAAAAAAAAAAGGAAGAAAGCAAGAAAAAACATCAGGTAGGAAAAGAACGAACTTGTGTTAACTTCATTTGTGTCACAGGCACAATTACGTCCCGTGAGGCTTCTGCAGAGAGCCTGCCCTCTGCCCAAGCCCAAATCGCCAACCTCTCCAGCCACCCTGCGCCCAGCCTCCTCTTCCCCACACCCTCTATTTTTGGTCTAGGATGTACCCCCTCCGCACCCCCGGTTCCCTGACCGCCTCCTGCTCACCCTGCAGGACCCATCTTGGGGTCTGGGGAGCCCTGCCTTCCAGGGGCGCTGGCCTGGCCCCTCCCTGGAGTCCGGCCCTCACACTCGGACTACAAACATCTCTGTTTCCTTGCAGACCAAGGCTCCCAGAGGGCAGAGCCCTGCCTCACTTTCTTGTCCAGCACCCCGAGGCCTGGCACAGGGTGGGTGCTGCCTAGGCTGTCCCCGCCATCCTCAGGGTGCCAGGGTTGGAGGCCCTGATCCAGTCAGGACACGGAGAATAGGAGGCTCAACTAGGAGTCTCAGACTGGGCTGGGGGGCGGGCACCAGGCCCAGCGCTCCCTTCTTGTCAGGGCTTAATATCACCTTATCCTGTGTGGGGTTCGATGTTCTGGTGTGGATGTTGCTCCTTTGCATTCTGGGGTACACAGTATTGCAGGGAGACATTACCCACCCACTCTACCGAGGAGAGAACTGAGGTTTGAGGGAGAACAGGTGACTAGATCACAGGCCTCGGGTCCTGGCACAGAGCTTTTGGAACCCTGACTAGACTGCTCCAGTGGACAACAGCTGGGATGCCGGCTCGTAGTTTCGCTGGCACCAGCCCGACCGGCCAGCGTAGACACCGTACCGTGCCCACCAGTGGGAGTTGTAATCGCCACACTGCCCCAAAAGGCTGTCCTCACATCCGTCTATGAGTCAGGGGCTATCGTGGGGCCTCAGGTTACAGCTCAGGAGCCAGGCTGGTGTCCCCAGGCCCTGCATACCTGGGAAGGAGGACTCCCGGCAGGGAGCGGGCTGTTTTCCTTGCTCTCAATGTAGGCGTAGACTTCGGTCTCCCGGTGCTGCAGGGCCTGTGGGAGACAGGGCGTCCAGGCCGGAGCAGGTCATGAAGGGGACGCCAGCCTTCCTGCCTGTCCCAACCCTGCCTGGTACCCAAGGCCACTGCTGCTATCCACCCTCACTCCCGGTTCAGAACTCCGGCCCCTGTGAGGGTCAGGCCCACTCACCCACACCCTCCCCGCCAGCTGTTCCGGGCTCGCAGGTGACCTAGGTGCCCGCTGGGGCTACCTCCTGCCCACCAAGCTTGTGCCCTGCTGAGGGGTCTGCAGTCCCGCCTTGGCTGTCAGGTCGCCCCCACCCGTCCCTGCCTGATCTTTCCCTACCTGATGCTTCTCCCTGGGAATTCAAGGGACCACAGGCCCACAAAACCCAGGCGCCCTTCCAGAAAGCGCCGGGGAGTGGTGAACTCCACCTGAGCTAGGGGTCGCCATGATGAAGCAGGAGACCTACAGCCTCCCCCTGGCCTGGGAGCCCCCTGAGGTCGGGAGGGGCCTGGTTAGCCTCTGTGCTCCTGAGCCAACTGCTGGTCTTAGCACAGTGAGAGGGGCACCGGATGGGCCATGGTGAGGGGATCCCTCCCTCACGCGGGTACATCCTAGGGCCACGCTGAAGAGACCTGACAGGAGTAGGAAGGACCAGGGCTCTGAAGTCACACATGACTAGGTTCAACTCTTGGCCGTGATACCTGCCAGCCAAGGCGACCCCTTAATTTCTCCATGCCTCAGTTTCCCCAACGGTACAATGGGAATGATTACAGGGACTTTGCAGGCTTTAATGCAGGATTAAATGAGATACTGTACATAAAGGGCCCTGCACAGTTAGGCAAACAGGTGGTGCTTAATAAGCAGCTTCTGAATGATCACCAAAGAAGAAAAAACGCTGCACCCTCCTCCTGCAACCCCAGCCTGGATTCACCCTCAGACCCCACTGGGCTCCAGAGCAGAACCGAACAACAGTCTAAGCAAGAGGCAGAAGCCTTCCCTTCCCGTGTATGTCATATGGATGCCGGCTTGTTGCCAAGGAGGCGGTTTCCCTGGCAACAGTCAAGCAGGGGTTGCCAAGGCAGGCTGGAGAGACAGGTGGTGCTCAGAGGCAGGAGGAGGGTGGGGAGCAGGAGGGGAGGAGGGAGGGAGGCATGCGAGGCAGCTGGGCATGAAAATCCATGTAATAAACCATTTGGCGCTTGGGAGACCCTCACTTCAAGGGCATCAGACGCGGGGATGGCAGGGCTCCCTCAGGGTCCCGTTCAAGAGGCCTCTGCACCAGCAAGAGATGGGTGTTGGGAGGGGGCTTCCAACTGGCCCCCCCCCAAGGAGGAGCTCCATTTTCTGGGGAAGGAAACTTGCAAGATTTTCTCCACTTGTGCAGGTCTTTGTGTCCATCCAGGGCACAGGGACAGACAGACCATGCTCTGTCAAACCAGCCCCAGACCCTCTGCCATCTCACAGATCTGACAGTCATCCTGAGCTGGACGTTTCCAGTCACAGAGGGGAGACAGGGAGAGTCCCCTCTGCCACATCTCAGCAGGAAGGCAGACCTGGGGTCCCACAGGTAGCTCCCTAGGCCCCACTCCCAGCCCACATGGACTAACAGAGCCAAAGAACAACACCCCACGGGCCCTGGGCCCACAGGGAGTGCGGGTGGGTGCTCACACGGTGACCAGGCAGGAGCAGCTGTGGGGCCGAGGCCAGGCCAGGCCACAGAGGCGGCCACCACTTAGCAGCTGCATCGCGAAGCTTTTGACGAGCTCCGACCTGCAGGCTGCATTTGTATTCAGGGTGTGACCTGCAGCAGCAGGCAGGGAAATGCGGGGCGCAGCCTGATCCCAGCCTTCCCTGGCTGTTGGCCTCAGGGTTGTGGCGGCCAGGCTGGCCAGGCTACGATGATACCCCAGGGCTGTGCTGTTCCGGGCTAGGGCTGACCAGGGCTGCACTGGGCTGGCCCAGCTCTGCATGGCGGTGGTGTCTGAGACCCAGGTTCTGGAAGCCCTCTTCCCTGCTGCTGCCCCATGAGTAATGATGCTGACCAAATGGGTTGGCAGCCTGGCGAGGGTGTGAAGGCAGTGCCAAGCCCATCCTCTGGGTGGGCTGAGAGCTACACAAAGTCACTACCTGGGCCTGGGCCTGGGCCTAAGCTCAGGGTCTTGGCGTTGGGGGCCATGGTGAGATCTAGGTGCTGTTTAAAAGGTAATCGTGCTCAGTGGAGAGGAGCACCCAGCTCTGGGTCACCACACAGCTGACTCACAGTTGTGCCTTAGAAAGGCCTCTCTGTCCACTGCTTGTGACAGGAAGAATAGGGGCACAGGGCCCGGGGGGGGGGAGCAGAGCTCCGGGTAGCGTGTGAACCCTGCTGAGAGACTACAGACCACAGTGCTGACTCCCCACATTGGCCCCAGTGTCCCTCAACCTGCACGAGGCCTCACGGAACTCAGGACACCCTGGAAGGTAAGAACTGACCCCGGCTGGTGCAGGGCAGAGGGGGCTCGAGGTGGACGATGATCACCCAAGCCAAAGCTGGCCGTGAGGACCATGGAGAGAGGTGAAGGGAGACAGGAGGTTGGGTGGTAGAGAGGGCCGGAAGGGCCATCTGAGGACGGGAGGAACAGTCTCGGCAAGGCAGCGCCCAGGGGACCCCAGGAAGACAGCAGTGGGTACCCTGGTATGTTCAGGAAGCAGTACATGTGACAGTGACAGCCCCAAGGCTGTGACTCTGGGGGAGCTGGGAATCCCCAAAAGGCCATCAGCGATGGCCCTGAAAGTCACATCACAGACCCAGCTGCAGGGTTGGGAATGGACCAAGGGACACTGCTGGGCTCTGAGACCCACCACACCTGAGCAGACCTGAGCCATAGTGACCCCTCTCCCTGGTGCCTCCTGCTTTCTCCCCGTCTTTGGGGTGGGGAGAGAGCCTCTCTCACGGGGACACTTCTGATCTAGGAAGGGCCAGGAGGCCCTTGCCACACCAAAGGCTCTGAGCAAAGGGACAGGATGGGTTAGTGACTCACTGGGTCGCTCTGGCTGCAGAGTGGGATGGAGTACAAAGAGGCCTTCTGATAGGGCAGCCTCCCAGGCAAGAGGCCATGGGGCGGGGAGAAGGAGAACCAGATTCTGGACCCGTTCAGGAGCAAGACTTGCTGATCGATCAGATCTAGGCAATGATGGAAAAGACAAGGAAAAGTCGGCCTCAAAATGTTCAGCCCGACTACCTGAGCCATCGTTTTGTTACAATGAGGGCAGCTGTGGCAAGAGGTGCTCAGCGGGGAAAGAGCTGGACTCTGGCTGGAGAGAAGCCAATTAGGGGTCCAAGCGGAAGTGGGTCTGTTGTTCAGAGACTTCTGTGGAGACTCGGGGGCGGTACCGGACGTGGGTGACGTTCAGAACCTGTAGGCCCAACATGATCGCCCCGGGAGCGTAGATAGAGGGGTTTCCCGGGCTTGCCCCGCCCCCAGTCCCACGTTGACTCCAATGTTTAAAGATCTGGGTCCCACAGTTTTGAGGAGGAACGGTCAGCGGGGATGCAGGAGGTGTGGCCGTGAGACGGAGTGGGGGAAGGTTGCTGGGGGACGCGGTTCAGATGCCGCTGTTACATCCGGGACAGTGAGGACGGAGAACTGCCCGTTGGATTCCACAATGGTGCCATGGGTGACCCTGCGAGAGAGGCAGCTACAGGCCTCACTGAGAGGGCCAGGAAGGGGAGGGAGACACACGGCGAAAGCAAGCAAGCAAGCAAGCATTTGGATGACTCCTACAGGAGTTCTGTTAGTGGGACTTGTGGACAAGGAGGAGACAGCTGTGGGGTAGTGGGGTGGCTCAAAAGATAAGAAATTTAAGGAGCTGGGCCCGGTGGCTATACCTAAAATTCCAGTACTCTGGGAGGCTGAGGCGGGAGGGTTCCAAATTGGAGCCCAGTCCATGCAATGTAACGATTTACAAGACCCTGTCTCAAAATAAAAAAATAAAAATAAGAAAGGGCTGGGCATGATGGTGCACTCCTGTAATCCCAGCACTTGGGAGGCTGAGGCAGGAGGATTGCTGTGAGTTAGAGACCAGCCTGGGCTACATAGTGAGTTTCAGGTCAGACTCAACTACATAGTGAGACCCTGTCTCAAAAAAAAAAATTTTTTTTTAAATAAATAAGGACTGGAATGTAGCTCAATGTGAAGGCCCAGATTCTATCTCCAGTACCACCAAAACAAGCAAACAAATAAAAACAAAAGAACAGAGGTCATAGCCTGTTCGATAGCTATGAGTACAATATTGTATCACCAACCTCATTTCAGACATCATGGAACCAAGACTCAGTGTAAGTAACAGAACCAGAGAGAAAAGTATAAGGGTCGCTCTCCAATCTCTCTGACCCACTCTAAATCCAGAGTCTTCCTAGGCCTCGTTTTTAAAACCAAATTGGGGTAGTGTAGTTTTTTCTTCATGTTACACAATATCAAACACTTTTCCACATGACACATTTAAAAGGAGAAATACATAAACCTACATAAACACATAAATACTTAACAACTGATAAAACAGACAAAAATCAATCAGGATCAATAAACATAGAGAATATTTTAACAACAGAAGCAACTTTTTTCAGTACTGGAGATTGAACCCAAGACATTTCCACAGAGTTACCTACCGGTCCTTTTTATTTATTTATTTTTACTCTGAGACACGATCTCACAGAGGTGCCCAAGCTGGGCTTGAATTTGTGATCCTCCTGCCTCAGCCTCCCAGAGTGTTAGGATCATAGATGTGTGCCACCACACCCAGCTATGATCAACATACTTGACCTCATTGACATATGGAACACAATACAAGTTTGTTCCTAGTGCACACAGAATATAAGCCGAGCTACCACAAAGCAAGTCTCAAAAAAAAAAATTTTTTTTTTTTGTTTTTTTGAGACAGGGTGTTACTATGTAGTTGAGACTGACCTGGAACTCACTATGTAGCCCAGGCTGGTCTCGAACTCACAGCGATCCTCTTGCCTCAGCCTCCCGAATGCTGGGATTATAGGCATGTGCCACCACACCTGGCTTCAAAATATTTAAAAGGATTAAAATCTTAATTAAAATATATATCTGATCATGACAGAAGTAGCCAGAAATTAAAAAATAGAAATAACTAGAAAACAATTAAAATTTCAAAAATTAAGCAAAACATTTTAAATAACCAATGGGATAAGAAAGAAACCTCCAAGGAAATTTAGACTAAAAGATAATGAAAATACAAAATCATAAATCATACGGGGTTAGCACACGCCAGGCCCTGGTTTTGATTCCTAGTCACACACACACACACACACACACACACACCCCTCATGGAATGTAGCTAAAGCCATACTTACAGAGAAATCCATAACCTGAATGGAAGCTGGGCATAATGGTGGATGCTTACAATACTAGCATTCAGGAAGTTGAGGCAGGAAGGTCAAAAGTTCAAGGCCAGCCTGGGCTACCTAACAAGACCCTGTCTCAAAAACAATAGCTGGGCACAGTGACACCCGGATGGAATGCCGGCGCTGTGGGAGGCTGAGGCAGGAGAATCACAAATTCAAGCCCACCTTAGGCTATGTAGTAAGACCCCATTTCAAAATGAAAAAGGGCTGGAGACAGAGCTCAGAGTAAAGGCTTTGGGTTAAATATCTAGTACTGAAAAAAAAAAATGAGAGGAAAAAAGAAAACTATATAAACATCTATGCAAAGAAAGTAGAAGGGAGAGCACACACTCACACTCACACTCACACTCACCTTCCCCAGAGTTTCTAAACAACGCAAGGCTGTCCCCTCACCGCTCCTGTGCGTTCCGTTCATTGTCACACTGGAGGTCTTAGCCAGCGCGACAAGCCAGGAAAGGAAGGAAGGGACAGAGGGACTCTTGAAAAAGCAGGATTAGGGAAAGGAATAAGTGAAACTTCCATCATTCATAAATGACACAACTGAGTTCCCTGAAAACCCAGAGAGGTATTTGCAGAGAAACTGTCAGAATTAATAAGTGGATTTGGCAAGACCCCTGTATATCATGCCAGTACATAAAAATAACCCTATCTCTGCATGCCGGTAACGAGGAGCAGAAAACAGGGGCAACGCCTGCACCCGGCAGCTTCCCAAGAGTACCGGCGAGATGTGGCTCCTGACACCATCCTCACTGTCACTGAGGGCGCTCATCTCTGTCAGAAACAGCCCCAGCCCGTAGACCTTGGCTCAAGGGTCAGCAGAGTCCTGTGACTGCCCATGGCGGTCCCTCTGGTCCTAAGACCTCCCTGAGCCACCTGTGTCCCCTGCAGGCAGCCGGACCTCTTTGTGACCCTCTCGAGAAGTCACCCTAAGCTCCATAGGCTGCTACACATGGGTGAGAAAGTCGCTCAGGCAAAAATAAGTCTCTTCCATTAAAAAAAAACAACTCATAGAAGGCTACTTATTCACGTGGAAAAATGTTCCTAGGATATTGTAACACCCCCCCCCAAAAAAAACAGCTGTGTGACTGTAATTTTTTAAAAAATAGGGGCCAGAGATTTAGCTCAGTGGTTCCACTGCCTGCCTTGCAAGCACAAGAGCCCAAGTTTGATCCCTGGTATCAAAAACAAAGCAGGGGGGCTGGGGGCCAGGGTTTTGGCTCAGTGGCACTGTGCCTGCCTGGAAAATACAAGGTCCTGAGTTCGATCACTGGTGCCAAAAAAAAGTAGGGGTGTTGGGGTGTATCGCAGGGGTGGTACTGCTCGCTTCTATGTATTTATAGAAAAAAGATGAAAAGCTATAGAAGTGGACATTTCTAGTATTTATCCTGGAAGAAGATGGGAATATGACGCTGTGGGTTGTTTTCATATAGAACACATGGGTGTGTGTGTTGGGGAGAGAGAGAGAGGCCCACCTAAGAGCTGATACCAGAATCCCTCACGGAGAAAGTAGCAGGAGTTGCTGGGAGAGGACGCAGCAGCTATGGAGATTCCCTGGGGAGGGAGGCCGGGGCCCTCTGCAAGCTGCCGCACTCTCCTCAGAGCCACGGACACTGCCCCATGGGGACAGTCCCTCGGCCACACCACCACCGCCCCGTCCTCAGCACACACGGCCAGATCCCGGACCTGCTCTTGCGGGGTACCCCACGTTTCCTGTGTGCACCAGGGACAGGAACAGTGGCACCGGGAAGTCCGTGGGACCTCCGTGGAGGGGTCAAAGCCCAGCCCAGTGGCTCTGGGTCTCTTGGAACTGAGCTCCCGCTGGCACAGGGCGGCGCTTACCCTTCACCTTCCTGCGGCGAACTAACGTGTTACTCGTGGTGCCCAAAGCCACACGTCCCTGGACAAGGACATTCCTCAGCCTCTGGCCCCAGCCACTGAACAGACAGGCCGTGTGCTGGCCATGGGTGGGCAGGGTGGGCAAAGCCTCCCGTCCCCTCCGCACCTAATTATGAAGACTGCCTGTGACACAACAGAGTACGGCGCCAACAGCGTCCCGGCCTTGTCTCCCCTGCGACCGTGAGGACATAAGGCGGTGTCTGCATGTGGTGGGGCAAGACGGCGCCAAGAGTTGAAAGTCATGGCTGTCGGGGCTGTGGGGCGGCGCCTGCCCTTTTTGCTTTCAGTGATTGTTGTTGTTGAGGCAGTGATGTTGTTTGCGCAACAAACACCGGAAGAAGCTGGTGAGCTGGGAGATGTCATTTGGTCCGAGGAGGAAATTTCTTCACTCCCTACCTACCCTTGCCCTTGCTGCCCCTTGCTCCAGAAGGGGAAGGGGGCACCGAATACCCGGGTGCCCACACGTGGGCTCTCCTTTCACCCTTATGGTAATTCTACGAGGAAGAATAATTTCACCCACTTTACAGATGAGGAAACTGAGGCTTGGGCAGGTCCCACAGTGGTACAGACTGAGCAAGGGAATCAGACCCTGATTTGGGCTTGGAGAGGCGGCAGAGCCCAGGCCCTGGGACTCACCATGTAGGCAGACTCCGCAGCAGGCTGTGTGGGTCTGCTGGCAGACCTTGGGTCTGGGCACGACGGGGTGGGGTGTTTCCTTGGAACCAGCCTCTGTTTCTGTGAGGAGAAAGGAGCCAGGGCTGTCGGGGCTGATGACATGTGGTCCCCTGGTTTCCCTTCCTTCACGGACCCCACCAGGGGAAATGAGGTGGATTCGGATTTTTCCTCAGGCCATCCAGAGTTGACTCACTCCCACAAGCCCTCTACGGAGAGCTGGGAAATGGCTCCAAGACCTGGATCGAGCCACTCACAAGCCTGGAGCCAGAAGGAAGGACTTGGCCCATACAGGCACCGCCGTGGGCAGAGCGCCTGGCTGGGGGAGGCCAGTTTGGTAGGGCCCCGGGCTGAGCAGGGGCTGGGGTCCCACTGTGCCCTTTGTTGGTTCTGGGCTGGAGCCAGCACTCGCCCTGGCCTCAGTGTCTCCAGCCATAGGTCCCAGGCACTTGGTGGCTGGCACACCCGTGGCACCTGAGGAGCAGTCTGTCACCCACACACACCTTCGTTAGCCAGGCGGCAGGAAGAGGAGACACTGTCCAGCGCTGCGAGAGTGAGGTGGACAGCAGGACCATAGTTTCCTGCGGCTGAGACGCTAACGGAAGCCAAGTCTGGGGCAGCCAGCCAGGAAGGCTCAGGGCTAGGGTGACAGCTGAAGGCACTGAGGGAGGCGGACTGGACGTCCCCCCTCATCGCAAGCTCCACGCTGCCAGCGGTGGAGCAACAACGGCCTCATCTCAGGGCAGGAGCTAATTAAAATCCCTGGCCACCCGCCAATCCCCAGCCCATTTACTCCAGGATTAGCTCTCAAGAGCTACTTAACTCACAGGCGGAAGCCAACACCGCCTGGGTCACAGCATCTGACTGCTGGGAGCACAAGGCCAGGCAGGGCTCTGTTTTATCTCCGTGTCCCTCGGCAAACCTGTGGACAAGTCCTCGGGTGGTCTCGGTTCCCCACATGAGGAAGGAAAGGCTCAGAGAGGATCGGGGACTTGTGAAGCTACCCAGCCAGGAAGTGGCAAAGGTGGGGTCTCGACCCAGGATGCCGGCTGCCAATACTGCGCCTCTGTTTTGTCACAGTATATAGGTCTCACCGATGGAGGTAGGAGCCAGCCTCTGGGGCCTGCTTTACAGTTTACGAGGACACCCGCCCCCCAGGACTTGGCCTTGTTTGCATTTTATTCTCCTAACAGCCTGACGAGGTGGGCATTTAACAGACGTGCAACTGAGGCTTGTCCAGCTGACAAATGGCTACCCTTGAAATTATTGCAGATACCTGGTCCTCAAATCCTGTGCCAGGTCCCTGTGCCACCTGGAGGACACTCCCCTCTGAGCCAGCCGGCAGGGACATCCCCGGGGCTGCAGGCGTGAGCTCGAAGGCAGTGGCTGACCCAGGGCCACATAAGGTCAAGTACACATAGTACGTCGTACTTGGTGGCAGTGGAGGCTACTGAGGCAGGAAAGAGGACAGGTTTGTACTTTCTAAGGCTCCCTGTGCTGCCTTGCGGGTGGATTGGAGGTTGGGCACTAGGGGCTGAGGTGGGGGTCTCCCGTCAGGAGTCCTTCCTGTGGGGGCTGAGTGAGCTCCCCTGAAAACAGGTGGGCAATGTTTCCACACTGGGGGCGGCATGGAGGTACTCTGCTGCTTGAGCGTCTCCTTGGCAGTGGGTAGTGGTAAGGGGCACCAGCCCTGGCGCAGGACCCAAGGCTCCCATACCAGGGTGCAGCTGTCAGCAGCCCAGGAAGCCTGCTGAGCCTCAACTTCCCCCCTCTGTGAAACGGAAGCCACAGGTTGCCTTGCCTATCGCACGCCCTGGCCGTGGCCTGCTCGGCTTTCTGTCGTTGCGTGTGCATCCCTGCTATAGGCTGGGCTCCCCGGGCATTGAAGTCAGCCAGTGCCTGCCCTGTAGGAGCTGCACTCTGACAGGACAGCATATTAGCAGCCCGGGCGGGTGGCAGAGACCAGGACCCCAGAAGTACATGCGGGAGCCCAGCCTGGGCTGCGGGGAGAGATTGGACCCAGACAGGCCCGGGGTGGGACGCGCCAAGGGCAGGATGCACCGTGAGATCAGCTCCAGCTCCTCGGTCTGGGGCCTGAGCTGCTGGCATCTGCTGCCGTTTGCTGAGCTGTAGAGACTTGGGTACCCCGAGTGCTGTTCTGGATACATTAGACGGTAATGCCGTCTGGGGACACCAGCAGCCTTGGGCGGAGCCTAGGGAGGGGTCTGGGCCGCATCCTGGACACATGGGGGTGCAGCCCTCACCCATAGCTCAGCCAGCTCAGAAGTGAACCCCAGGAACAAGAGCTCTGGGGAAGTAGCGCAGGGCGTACCAGGACCACCGCCTTGACCCCTCAAGCCATGTGCGGCTCTCACACCTGCTGTCACAGAAGGAGTCTTGGCCCTACTGGCTGCCCGGGAAGGTGACCAGGCCCGGTACTCACAGTGCCCGCAAGTCACACTCCTACCACCGACCCACAGTGCAGCTCCCGTGCTTGGCACGTCCCTGGGGAAACTGAGGCGGGGAAGAGTTAGGCATCCTGTTGGAGCTCGCAGCACTGGCGAGTGGCACAGGCGGAATGTGGACACAGGCTCTGAGGCTTCGTTCTTAAGCCTCTATTGTCTGTGGCTTCCTTTCACAGTGAACTCATCACAACTGGTTAGCAGGCAACTGTCCCACCAGACTGCAGATTTAGTCAGCTAACCCTGGTTCCTGGTCTCTAGCACCAGACATGGCACATAGTAGGTGCTCAACTAAGGAATGACTCTGCTGTGACAGCAGGTGTGAGGGCCGCACCTGGCTTGAGGGGTCAAGGTGGTCCCGGTGACCATGAAGGACCCTGCAGATCATAAGCCCTTCAGCAAGGACTTTTGGAGGGTCTACAATGTGCCGGGTCCTGCGCTAGAAGCTGAGGCTGCAACAGGGAGCAACCAGTCGGGCATGGAACAGGAAGCCACAGGCTGGGTGGCAGTGAGAATGCAGGGAGCTCCAGGAGCAACTCCTCTGCTCAAGAAGGAGCCGCACACAGAATGAGCCAAAGCGGGCCACCTGCCCCTCCACGCGTGCCCCAGCCCTGACTCCCGTGCTTGCCGTGTGACCTTGGCCAAGCCATAGCCGCTCTGAGCCTTGCTTTCTAGAGCTGGGAGAGGGGCAGGAGCTCCTCACAGACCTAGAGGGGAACGAGTGAGAATGTGTTGGGGGGTTCTGGGCCCTGTAATCCCAGCGCTCTGGAAAGCTGAGGTAGGAAGATGGCAAATTTGAGTCCAGTCTGGGTGAAACCGTGTCTCAAAATAAAAAATAAAAAGGGCTGGAGATGTAGCTCAGGGCAAAGTTTAATCCCCAGAACTGGGGGTTTTAAAAAAGAAAGATAGAAAGAGACCTGGTGGTTCAGGTCCCACCACAGGGGGCAGGGGGGACTGGGCCAGGAGCACTCTCAACCCTGGTGCAGGTCCACAAGGGACACCCACTGCAGGGCCAGGACCCCTGTGGGCAGGTGGACGGCCCCCATCCTGTGAGGCCTCCCCAGACCTGGTTTGGGTGAAGGCTACATTGCTGTCACATCCCCGCTGTGTGTGACTGTCCCATACCTTTTTCCAGAGCAGCAGAGCTGTGCCCAGCACACTCAGGACAGCCAGGAGGCCAGTGAAACCATACAGCAGGGTCTTCCGGGAGCTCGGCGGCAGGTGTTGGTACCCTGTGTCTAGGAGGAGGGTCAGGGAAACAGAGCTTAGTTTCCAGGAGAAGCCAGGACCTACTTGGCCCTACTGACCCCCAGACCCCAAAGCCCTTTGTTATCCTTCACCCAGGACCCCATTTCTAACTCTCTTCCACAAGGCCCTGTACCCTGCTAGATGCCCCCAGCCCCACCTCAGGTCCTGTCTTTTTCCCCTCCTAGGATGAAACCTGAAGTGCTGGAAAACTGAGCTACACCCCCAACCTTCGTATGTTTTATTTGGAGACACGGTCTTGCTGAGTCACCTAGGCAGGACTCCAGTTTGCGACCCTCCTGCCTCAGCCACCCAAGTAGCTGAGGTTATAGGCCTGTGACCCAGCATACTCAGCTCGGGTTCTTGCTCTTACACTTACTTTGCTAAGCCGCCTGTGTACGTTGACCGTCTTGGCTCTCTAGAAGGACAAGGACAAGGACTATGCCTGCTCCTGCCTCAGTGAACTGGCTTCACTGAGAGCTGCCAGGAGGACCCTGGGTGAATCACCTCACCTCTGGGTCCTCCTTCCCTTCCCTCCATTTGAAATGGTGACCACATGGGGGAGTGTGGGGACAGTCGGAAGTGACAGGTTTGTACCCAGACTGACAGGAGCTTGCACCGTGGGTAGGCGAGCACACGGCCTCTGCTTTTCCTGAGCTCTTCATTCATCCACCCTTGTCTTCCTCCTTCCACCCTGCTGGCAAGGATCTATGGGGTTGAGTGTGGTGTCAAACCCCCAGCACTCTGGGAGGCCGAGGCAGGAGGATCGCAAGTTGGAGCCCAGCTTGGGCAACTTAGCAACTGAGCGAGATCCTGTCTCCAAAAATAAAAAAAGGCTGGGGATGTAGCTCAGTGCAAAACCCTGGGCTCAATCCCCAATACCATAAAAGAAAAACTAAACAAAACAAAAATCAACTCATGGCAGGCAGACCAAGGGACAGGCAGACTAGTAGTATTCATCGACACCAGGGTGCCACCCTCACACTTGGGTCTGTCGCTCCTCCTCCTGAGCCCTTGACAGGCGAGTGTGGCCAGGACGTCCAGGCCCCAGGTCACACCAGGCAAGCAGTGGGACTGGATAGCAACCCAGGTCTGTGGGATTCCAAAGCCCCCAGTCCCTTCCGGAGGAAATCGGAGGCAGTTAGAGAATTGTGGCTTTGGGGTGCTCATTCTCAGATCTCGGGGTCTGAGAATGTGAGGACTAAGAAGTTGTTCCTAGAAAGACATTACAAGCCAAGGGTATACACACACACACACACACACACACACACACACACACACACACTGATTCTGCAGAGGCCCCAGGGCCCCTCCCAACTGTGTCAATGGGACCCTGATGTGAAGGGGCCAAGTGACCTCTCAGGCCACTGCCAGAGGGGTCAAGAAGTAGACCCACATCCAGACCCTGCCGGTGGGGGCTCCCCAGGATGCTCCGTTCCACAGGGTCGATGGGTCTACACTTCGGATCTTGCACCCCCACACTGCAGCGTGAACCTGCAGGTCCTGAGCCCTCGGAGTAGCCCAGGGGAGGTCTCACCTCTGACCAGGATGAAGGTGCCGCTGCCCCTCACCCTGACGCTTTGCCAGTGGACATAGCAGTAGTAGGTGCCAGTGGCTGACGCATCCGGCAGCCTGGGTCTGACCCAGCAAGTCAAGGTGTAGGTCTGGTTCTCTGTGCCAGGGCCGGCGTGGCAGGTCGTTTGCTTCTTTGGGCTCTGCTGGCCTTGGAGATCTATGTGAAAGTAGCTGACGGTGAAGTCTTTGAATGCTGGGGTGTAAGGGTAGGTGATTCTGCAGCCAAAGGGGGCGGTCATGTTGGCCAGGGAGACAAGGATCGGGGGGCCGCTCTGGCTCACTGACTGCCCTCCTGCGAGAGACAGTGGGGGAGAAAAATGGGTTACCAGAGGCCGCCTCGCCCCACCTGCTTCCCTGTGAGGTCCAAGCCCGCTCTGTGCTCCGGCCTCAGGCCAAGCATTTTCCACTCAAGATGCCACCCTCCTGGGGCACCTGGAGGCCAGGTGAGAGCGAGAGTCCCAGAGGAAGTATCCAAACCGCAGAGAGTCTGGCCACGAGCTCCCAACCCTTCCATTTCTGGGCAGGGATGGAGTGGAGCTGCGACCCCACCCCAGGCTGGGAGAGAGCCGAGCCTGAGCTCCCAACCCCCTCCCAAAGGCTCAGCGAAGACCAAAAGCTTCAGGAGAGGGGGAAGACAGAGGCAGGAGAATAAGGTAAAGAAGCAGGGCTCCCCACTCCTCTCCCGATGCCAAAGCAGCAAGACAAACCTTTCCTGAATGTTAGCTTGGAGAAGATCTGACAGCTTTCTGCATGGCATTAACAAGCAATTCCCTGGGGGCCGTTTCCCACTGAGGCGGCAGTGCCCCTCATTGCCCATTTGGGCTGCAACTATGGACTTCAGTACCTGTGGCAAAGCCATTCTTCAGCAGATACCCTCCCCAGCCCCACCTCGCACCTCCAGGACACAGTTTGGAAATCTCCAAAGCAGCAGCCTGGCCTGGCGGGGCCCCTGGTCATTCCCACAGGCGCTGTTCAGATTCTGGGCTGGGGTCCAGGGTTCACAGCCACTGCGCCTGACCTGGGCTATACCAGACCCCTTGGGCTTCCTTCATCCCCGCCTCCCAGGCCTGTCTTTCCCTGGCAGCTGAGCGGAACAGCAGAGCTTTAAATTGAGGTCAGCAGCAGGCAGCTAAGAACATGCAGGCCGTGTGTTAATCAGGAGATCGGACGTTTGAGACACTCAGAGGGAGCCCCAAGATTTATTTTGTTGGAGAAAATGAGGCATGGGCCTCCTGCCTGTGGTGTGGGCTGGCCCAAGGCCAGGCTGGTCTTTTCTCAGTCCCTTCAGATCAGCTCTGAGCCGGATCCTGGGGAAGGGCACCCAGGGGAGGCCAGGCCTTCTGGGGACTCAGATCTGGGATGGAAATGGCCCGCTCTGGTTAACACTGCGTAGCTCTGCATAGACTGATATTTCTGGTTTTCCTGTTGAGCCAGTACAGAGACACCTGCCCCACTCCACCCCTACAAAGATCTGAAGGCTCCAAGGTCCAAACATTTGCTAGATGGGTCCACCGTCGCAGTGGGTTAGCTCTGTGGTAACTAACATGACGAGGCTCACTTTGGGAATAGCCACTGAGCAGGCATCCTGGCTCCCTCCTGGGGGAGAAGCCCCCTGTCCTTTCTGTCTCTGGACTCTGTGGTGGGATGATTGGGGCTTCGCAGCAATAGAGTATCTTTGGCATTCAGGGCAGAGGTCACGTGAGACATAGCAAGGAGGAGAGGGGTGCCAGGGCAGGGGGAGGATTGTTGTACGACCTCCCAGGGTCTCAGGTGGGACGGAAGGACAAGAAGCAAGAGGGTGGGCCTTTCCTGCACTTTGAGCTCTCTACCTTTAGCCAGCCACCTGCGGCCTCTGTCTCCTCAGTGACCAACACCTCCATCCCCCAGGCTTGGTTCCTCCGTCACGTGACTGCCCGAATCCTGGCTCAGCAGGTCTAGGGTTTCCACCTGGGGTGACTGTGGGGGGTGGACCTGACAAATTCACCAGGAAGGTGGCCTTGCCAAGGAACTAACTGGCACCTCTGCTCCCCAGGACCTCCCCGCTCCTTCCCGTGTATCGGAGAGGCCACTCTGCACGGACGCTCAGTCAACATTACAACTTCCTGTCTGTCCAGGCAGGAAGACATTTATCCAGCTGTCTAGAAAACTCCCCATCTGAGGTACCCTTCTAGAAAATGATGGAATCTGCTAGTGTGATTAAGCTGATCTTTACCACTCTGGGGAACACACATCCACTGTTCCACAGCTTCCTGGGACTTTTAGTCAGAGGGTTAGAACCATGAAACGCAGGCCCTGGCTCAGCTGGACTTGGGGAGCAGAGGCTCCAGAGCCAGAGCCACCGCCCTCTGATGTAACTGCTGTCCCCCGAAGGTAGAAGAGGAGGAAGTATGCCACACTCTGTCGGAAATGACAGCCAGTCTGGGCGCGACGTGGGTGTGAGTGCTCAGGGAGAAAGGGGAGTGTGGGCGTGGGGCAGGTCACGCCTTTGCCGAGGAGTCAGCACCCTGAGCCTGAACCACAGCACTCTCACGCTTTCTCCTGGACTTGTGCCCCTAAAAGGCCCTTTCTGGGATGTGGGCTATGGGGATGCGGCCCTCGGTTAAGGTTCATAGCAATTTAGTTCTGAGTCCATAAATCCTTTCCCGGTGGCTTCCGTAAACACATAAGGGGGATAACAGTCAGGTTGCAGGGGCTCCTGACTGAACCTGGGCCTGGGAAGACCCCCACTCTGACGTGAAGCAGAGAGACCCCGGGGTGGGCAGGCTGATGGGGAAACACCACGACTGTCTGGGTGGCTGGGGCAGCGGATGTCGGTGCCTTGACACCAGGAGCACACAGACGGAAGGGTGAGAACGGACACAGAAATGTACCAGGCTGCCTCTGACACAGATGCTATGTCAGTGAAACATGAGAGCCACGGTGGGCACCCAGGGGCCACGAGCCACCCGTGAAGATGACCTGCAGAGCTCACCCCAAACACTGCCAGTCCTGAGTCCAGGATCCGTCCCCAGCACTGGCCAGGAAGATGCTTCTGTTCCCACATGGCCCCCTTCCCTCCCTGGAAAGGACAGAAAGGACAGCAGAGGGGCCTCACCCGCCACTCCACTTCAGCAAGGACAGTATCGGCTCTGGTGGCTGTCAAGGTCCAAGTTTGTCGTTAAGGGGTTGGAGACGTGAAGAACTAGGACCCATGACCCTAAAGGACCAGAGGCCTGCGACCTGCCCAGTGACTGGAGGTGTCAAGGGAAACCCCCCCACGCCAGGGTCTGAACGATGCCCCCAGGAGCCGCTCAGCTCTTCGGCTGCTCACCAGGTCCCCAGGGCTCTCGGGCACGGTTGGCTGGGAGCGGCCGCCCTCGGCATCTTAGGCAGAAGGAACAGATGTGATTGATGCCTTCACCTGGGGTGAAGGGCCTTGAGGGGCGTGGAAAGGGCAGACTCAGGCAGGGTCTTCCGCGGCTGGAGTGAGGACCGAGAGCTTCCTGCCTGGCTCAGCCTGGCACCCTTTCGGTTACTACTTTGAGCCCGGGTGGGAAGTGGGGAGGGAGCACTGGAGAACAGGTCCAGGAGAAGCCGTGATGGACCAGGGCCTCAGAAGAGGTACAAGAGGAAGGGATGGCGCTGGGCAGACACAGGAGAGGGCACCCAGTGACAGGACCCTGGGGGGTGGCAGAGGGGCAAATAGGGTAGGGGGCAGGACTAGCCAGAGACCGGAAGGTTAAAGAATCTTTGGGCCACCACCTGGCCCAGCCCTGCCCAAACTTGACTGTGTCCTGTTTAGTCCCTGAGTCTTCCCCACCCCCACACAGCTGCGAGCACAGATGCCCCAGATGCACAGGACAGGACCACCTCCACTTCGCAGAGGATCTCACAGGTGACACCCTCCACCCCTCCCTTCTCTGCAGCTCCAGGGACTTCTCGGAAGCCTGGGCTTGGTCGGAAGTGGGGGCGGGGCCTAGAGGTGGGTGGGGAAACCCAGGCCCCTGACTCAGCAGGCCCCGTTCGGATGCTGGATCTGCCTCTTGGCTGAGCAGCCTTTCCAGGGCGGCTTTACTTCTCTGAAGATCACTGTTTCCCTGTGTCACATGAAGGGACGATGCCAACTTCACCTTAGGGGTGGGGGGGGTTCGGAAGTGGATGGGCTATGTGGTAGGGAAGTGGGGGTTCGGGTGGGGGGCCAGGAAGTGGATGTGCCTACTGCAGGGCCAGGTGGCCTCTCCCCGTGGGACAGGAGAGAAATCAGGTGCCAGCCCTGCCTGTCTGCCTGCCTGAGAAGACCACAGCACGGGCGCCGCAGGAGACACGGGGGCCTGTACCTGACCCAGGCTTGTCCAGCGCTTCAGGCTCTAGCCCGACTGGACCCCAGGGTGGGTGCTGGGCTGCACTGTCTAGTGTAGGTGTGGGGATCTGAGACAGATGAACCCGGCCTCCTGCTCATTGCCCTCCTGCCAGCTCCGCCCATCTTGCTGGGAAAGACCCTACCTGCCACCCGCAGTCGCAGTCGCCTGGTTCCTTCTTTTTCCGGTTCTTCTTACGACTCCGTGGCTGCCTGCACTGTTGTCTGGTGGCTGGGTGGAGGCACCTGGTGGTGGAGCCCCTCTGTGGACCCCATGCTGAATCCCTGGCCCAGAGGGAACTTGACCATGGTGTGTGGGTGCCCACCTAGGCGGCTCTCCTCTCCTCAGCAAGGATCAAGACCTGACCCCGGCACAGTGCCCCCTTCTTTTCCTCTTAGGCCCCTGTCCAGCACCCTCCTGCCCGGGCAGGGCTGCCTCTGCTGGCTCTCACCCTTTCCCATCTCCCCGGACCTTCCTACCCCCGGGAACACCTGCACGCATCCTGCTCCTGAGCTGCCAGAACCAGCAGGGCCTCCCACTAGATGAGAACCAGGAAGGGCTCTGAAATCAGGCTACAGGGTCACAAGAAGCAAACAAAAATCACGAGCATCAAGCAGCTCCCGAAGCACTCTGTTTGCGACCTTCTGGGTTCAGTTATATTCATACAACGGGTCGGACGGGTCCACGCTAAAACATACACTGGGCCACTGATTAAAAACAAAACCCTGAAAGTCCCTGGCCTGGAGGATCTGTTCCCATCGATTCCCATTGCTTGGAACTTTCTCTCCCTTCCCTCCCCACCGTCAGTCTCTAGGCTTGGGGTCACCCTCTCTGTCCGCAGGACTTTCGCACCCTCCCAGAGCTATGCCTGGCCGGGGTCTCCAGCATAGCATCTCCAGCTTGGGGACCACTGAGCCACGTGCTAGGAACAGCTGACACTCCCTGGGCGTGGCTC